TGTGATCCGCACTTGCAAGCCAAGGCATTCCCAAGATAATGTCGAAGTCCGTGTCCAAAATGTCGAACGTCACCAGTTCGCATGCATGAGGTGCGTAATAGATTGGTACGGCCTCGATGTAGCGGTCTATAAGTTGCTACGTTCTTCCGTCCGCCAACTTGATCGCCGTTGGGTTTCCCTTCCTTCAAACTTGTGTGCCAAGGCCATCCCTTTGCATAAAGGCTTGGCTCATGAAGTTGCGAGACGCGTCGCTATCTAGCAAAGCGCCGCAGGACGCTTGCCCAACTTGGATGCGGACATAGAGGAGCGGTGCGTTGTTGTCATCGTACCGCTGCTTGCGAAACTCGCGGGCCACCTTGGTAACATATGCAAGGATGTCCCCCACTGCGACTTTGTCATCCGTCGACGAAGTTGGTGGTGCGAAGATGGTGGTGCATAGAAGATGAGCGCATAGTGCTGCGCATTGCGGTCCCGGCAAGCGGCCCGTGGTCGGGAGAGGAAGCCATGCGAAATCCTCGGACGTGAGCGGGTCCAATACCTCTATGTTGAACTCGCGCGCCGAATCCCGTGAAGAACCACTTGAAGACGATAAGTCACCGCTGTCGGACAGAGAAGATGCCGCACACATGTCTTGTCCTTGAGCATGAGTACCTAGCGTAGGAACGAGCCGCGCAACATAGTCCTCATACAAATATAGAAGAGGAGGACTATCGACTTCCACGTGTGCCTCAGAACGAAGGGCGGTCACCCGCGAAGCGACCGGTTCCGAAGGCGTTGAGAGTGTCGTCGAGTCACTCCCGGTGGTGCTCAGTTTCCAGATTTGCCCTTGCCTTTCGACGGGCAACCCATTGTCTCGTGGAGATCGCTGTTACACCACAGATAATAGCGGAATCTCGTGCGTGCCTTGTATGCTTGCTCGGAGAGACCGTAGTGGGACCATGAGGCTGGAGCTGCTGCGCCGAGCCCGGGGCTAGATGCAGTGTTTGTCTTCGCCTTGCCGCGTCCTCGGCCTTTGCCGGGGCGGCCACCATCCCGGGTGGCTGCGAGTCTGTCCCCTTCATTGGCAGATACGACCTCGCTAGTTTGGTCGTTTGGCGTTGCTGCGGCGACCACGACCACTTTTGGCCGATGCTGATTTCTGATCGGGCCTGTCGCAGATGAACGGTGGAGGTTCTTAGCCTCCTTGTTCATGACAATGATCCGTGCGACCTTGTCGAAGAGCTCCGCTGGTGTCGTCAGGGTGTCCTCGACGTGAGTCAAGGCATTGCCCAACGCAGGATACGACCTCGAGATGAAGTAGTGTTTGATGGCCTTGAAGCCCATTTGAATGTTTGGGACGGATGTCAAGCGTTGGTACAATCCAATCAACACTCGGCAGCGTGCCTTGTTCGAAGACCATCCGCTTGTCCATTGCCTTGATCTCCGACAGCTCTACTTGGAACCGCTTATGCCACGCCGCCTTCAGATCATCCCAGCTGATCTTGGTGTGCAAGTCGGCAGCCACCACTCTGTGCTTGGACAAGAGATTGTCCAACCATGCTTGGCACGCGCCCCCCGACCGGGAGTATAAGTACGCGTGGTGCTTGTGTTCGCTGACGTGGTGGAGCTGCAACTTGAGCTCGAACTTGCAGAACCATGGAATCGGGTCCGTCTTCGTCGAGTCGTAGAAGATCTCCTGCCCATCGAACTTTGGAGTTGTCTCGCGTGGTTCCGAGCTCGAGTGGGTGGCGTCAGTACAGATCCGCTGCTCCAATTGTTGCGTTTCGGTTTGCTGTAACTGTAGGTCGTCCTTGAGGGATCCGAAGTCAATCTCCAATGCCTCGAGGCGATCGTAGGTGTTGGAGGAGCTGGCAATGGGGGCGGCGACGGTTTGTTCCAGCTGCTGGAGGCGGCTGTTGACTTGGTCAAACACCTGATTGTGCGTCTGAACCACGTCGTCGAGGTTGTGGATGTCCTCCTGCTGTGCAATGAACGTGGCCAGGAGGTCCGTGAGATGGGAGAGGAGGAGAGCGATCTTGTTTTCACTGTCTTCCATTTTCCCATTCTCGGCCTCGGCCCGCCAGTCCGCTGCCATTGTGAGCAAAGCTCGCTCTCCATTGAATATCTTCTCGCGTCGTTGAGTTCGTTCTTCATCCGCAGCCTTTGCTGCTGCCTCATCTTGCTGGCGCTGCTGTTTGATTGCCAACAGACGTGCCTTCTCGGCGTCCTCCACCTTCTTCTTTCCTGCGGCTGCCCGACCGTTGCTTTGCTTCGGTAATCAGAAGCAGCATCCGGGCCTGATAGGCCTCGTCTGTTTCCCCGGACATCTGGCCCGTGACGGCTGTTTGCGAGCGCGTGAGCATAGACCAGGCTGGGGCCTGCTGACGTGGTCTGCTGATGTGGCCTGCTAACGTGGTCTGCTGACGTGGCCTGCTGACGTGGCAACTTAGCAATGCCGCCGCAGGAGGTACCCGGAGACTGATAGAGAAGATAAGACCAGAGGGGGCAACAACGTAGGTGGGGAGGGGAGGGTGGGATAAATCGCCCAGATAAGGAGCCACTAATCAAAAAAAGAAAAGTTCGAACTTCGCAAAAATCTCGAGAAAAAGAAAAAAAAAAACTCATTTGCAAGTTCAGTAGGCCTCCCAATTCCCCCTGAAGTGCGAAATTATGAATGAGAAAAATTTCGGACTTTCAAACTGCAAATGACGATCCGATAAGAGAATTCGGAAAATAAAATCACATAAAAATATTCGGAATTACTCAGATGAGAGTACGCGCAGTTTGGAAAATTATAACTGCAAGAGGGATTTCCCGTACCGTTTGTAAATCTCGAAAACGAATTTCGGAGATAAAAAAAACAAAATTCCGGATTTCCAAATAATGGGAAATTGCAAAAGGAAAATGAAATTTTCGAAAAAAAGATATTCTGGATTTCCAACAGCGAAATTTCGAATTTTCAGAAGAAAAATGAAAACGGAAATTTCAGGTGTTGTGCTATTGCGATTTTCCACAACAGAAATAGCGGGAAAACAAAATCCAAGAAAAAGATTTTTTTTTTGGATTTTCGGCAGTGAGGTCAAAATCGTGATTTTGGGGGCTAACCAGTGTGCTGTAATCAATCAATCAAGACTAATCAGCTACTTAGTCCCCGCACATGTGTCAGATCAGGTTGTCCTGATTCACGGGCGGTGTTCTGATACCAACTGTTCAATGCCCAGTTGGGCGATGTACATACATAACCGAGGATCCACAATGTGATAAAAAGGACTGAATGGACAATGCAGTGCAAGTGAAATCTCAACAAGCGGTGTACACATACATACAAAAATGGTGCTTTATAGCGCAGGGGAAGACTTAGATACAAGTCCTGACCTGACCGGGACTGACCTCTATCACGTAGTGCAAGACAGCGCAGCAGAATGCTAGAATACCAATGACTACCCCAATCAATGTTGCGACGCAGACCAAACATACATCATCCTCATCACAAGGTGTGAAGGGGCCTGGCGCTACACACAGGAAGAATGCGCCAGGTCCAGATCATGCACAGACGAAGAGGAGGGGAACAGACGAAGAAGAGGGGGAGAGATGGGAATGTCGTCAACACCAAGTCTTTGTTACAAGTCCGAAATACTCCCTCGTCAAAATGTTTGAAATCCAATGTCGAGTCTGGATCAGAATGTCACCAAGCCCTCTCTCTCATAGTCTGCTGATGCAGTGAAGTCAGGTAGCGAGAGGGTGAGAGGGAGATGGTGGACTGAGAAGAGGAAGAAGAAGAACTCTCTCTCTTCCATGTGCCAGGTAACCTGTGAAGTTGGCGCTGTGCTGCAGGTACCTCGAAGACAGAGCTGGAGCTATGGCGCTGCAGGTAAGTCTCCCTGGCCTCCGCCCAATCTCTCTCTCTCTCCAGTACTACTCTAGCTCCCACTAGCGCCCAACGCTGAAGACTACTGCTAGCACTACTAGCGCCCAGCGCTGAAGACTACTGCTAGCGCTACTACTACTCCTGCAGCGCTCCTCCAGAGTGCTGCTGCCGAATCCTGAAGACTACCTCCTGCCTCCTGAACTGCACGTGAAGTGCCTGGAAAGTACCTAGGAACTGCCTGCAGCCTGCAGGGCGGGCCAGGGATGGTGCTGGCCCGTCCAGGAGGCTGCTCTTGCCAATGGCGAAACGTGCCAGACCCTGGCGTTGAAGCTCAACCAGGGTCGTCTTGAAAACAGGCCCAGAATGGCCTGTGTGAGGATTGAGCCCTCAAGTAGGGGCCTTGCCATGATGTACATGTTCTGGGCTAAGGCCCCAGCAAGCCTCGTGCCCGCCCTAAGTGAAGGCGGGCCAGCAAATCAACAAGAGCCCTCTGTGCCAACATTTCACGAAGTGGGGTTCATACAGTTGCAGCATGCCAGTTGGTTGGAGTGCACCGAGTCTCGGATTTCAGCAAATGCTGAAAGTCCAGGGCCTCTGAGTTAGTTAGGCCCTGGGCACTCAAACGTGAGGCCGACAATGCATGCTGGGTAGAGAGGCCGAAAATGCCAAAGGGAAATCG